CTCCTCATTTTGACACATACTCATTAATTCTCATTCCAAGAAACCGGAAGACAAGACTAGCAGACGTCAAATCTTCCTTTTTACTTTTTTACTTCTGTCATTTCAGTTACCCAAGCTACACATGCAGTGAGACTTACAACATAAAGTGTACAACCATAAAGAGCAATTGTGTGACTATGACGTGATTTTGACATTTCGAGCCATGATACCCGCAACGATTATGTAACAGAAAATCGGTCACGGGGATTTCAGCATCAGCAGATTTCAGCATCAGCCACGACAATAACTACATTCTTGAGTATCTGAATCTATTACTATTACTATGCTCTGATAAATTTGTTTGGCTTTCCTGTCAGCAAATGGTAAACTAACAACATAGTCATTGCTATGTTTACGCATGAGCTATCCATAAAGAGATAGTCTTCTGTAACATGTTTAATCAAGGCTTCTATTTTCTGTTATAGCTAAACCTGATCTGGAAGATAAACCTCACCACACTTGTGTTACAGTATATCTGTGGAAAATAGAATAAAAAACTTCATGACATGCAAGATGACTGACCAGTCATCAACTGAGCATTGCATTACACTGTAGTAACTGAGACTGTAATAACGAATTTGACACAGTTTTTATTTAAACAATGACATTACTGTTATCAATCTCATGATGGTAATAAATAAAGTTTCCTTTTAAGATACTACTATAATCTTTTCCAGAACAGTATATAATATGCTGCATGGTAGGTAACCTAAACACAGGAACACAATGTTCTGAAGGAAGCACTATACTTGTAAATACAGAAGATTGACTATTACATCTTTGATTCGAAAACAAAGTGCTGTAAGCATTCGTTTTTTCACCAATAAACTGTTTGGGCTTTTTACATGAAAACCTAATTTCATTTGAACCACGATTTTGCAGTTTATCTGTAATAATACTATTAATTTTAATCTGTAAGTAATAGTAATCAACAGAAACTAAGGCCAAAAGTAGTGTAAATTAATACATACCAGTAAGCAATTTTTATACTTTCTTGTGGTAAATTTTTTATTTGGCATATACCATTCGCTGTGCACCTGTAAGCTATTATATTTATAACAAATAAATGACATAATTATTATTATGTAGTCTACATATTATATTATATTATATTATATTATTAAAATTAGCAAATATAAAATAATGATATTATATGCTTACCAGAAATGCAAACTTCATATTCTGTAGTATTAAGTCTGCTGTCATCAGACTTGTGAAGGTGCATTGTAAAAAGAATACAATCTCTAGATTCAGGTTGACACATCAGCTGTGTAATACAAGTAGTTAAGATAGCACCTTGATTATAATCTTGGGTATTTGGAATCCCTGGTAATGATGCAACAAACTTATCATCTCTCTTTTCTCCCTCAACAGTGTTAACCTCAACAGCAACAGGTAATTTATCTACTATTTGAGAGTCAGATGATTGTGGATGTCCAGTAATGATGTAGGCTAATCTTAACTTGGGGCTTTTTTCTCCCTGCTTTATATTAATATTCAATATTCTTTTTGCTTTAATTCTGGAAACATACACATGTGGCCGCCCATCTGGCATTAGTACAATATTTGCAGCAAATATTGTATCATGCTCGCCTTCATACATAACTTCTGCAAAAATTTGATGTTCACTAATTCCTTCCCATACATTAGTGGGAATTCTTATTGGACGCTTACAAGAAGGCTTTCCTCGTAAATCCAATACATCAATGCCACTGAAACAAACCCTTGGCTTAAGACAAGTACTTCACGAATAGCAACTTGTGTTTCTTCTTCGAAATTTCATATATTGGAACTATGTCCTCATAACCAATTATCACCCAGGTAGAACAATCTTGAAGTGTTGCTTGCCACTTGCCTATTATTGAGGATGGGATCGAATTGATTTGGCCAAAACTAAAAAAGAAAAAGATAGCTCAATAAAGTCTTTGACCTACTTGTATCATTTGACATATAAGCTGTTTTATCTCCTCCAATAGCTATATTGTCTTCCAATGCATTGCTGGATGAGTTTTGGTTCAATCTTTCGTTATTCTGAGATATTCCATTCACTGTTTTCAGTGATCCTGTTCCGATTCCCATTCCCACTTCCATATTTATACCCGTATTAATATTAATGTCTCTTCGTCTCTGATTTGATTGAACGTTTGTTTTTTCACACTCTTTGTTGGTTTTGATAATCATCCCCCCCAATCGTACTGTTCTCGCCCAAAAGTGACCATATTTCTCAAAGATACCTTTCAACCTGTCACTTTTCTCTGCTGGATCGATCAATCTCAGGGCATCATCTACCTCATTTTGAAAGTTATCAGAAGGTTCTATGTGTTCACTCCTCATGAATAGCATAGCTCGACAGTCCTCCAAGACTTCCTTGCGTTCTCTATAATTTTCATTCGATTCATTCGATCTTTCATTCGTAAAACGTATACCGATCGAGTTGATAAATGGTAACCTAGCAGTATCGATCGTTATTATTTTATGCATTAAGTTACTATTTCAGGAAGAGATCTCTTACCACATACATATTCAGACTAAATTCCCAATCAATGCCATTTTCATAGAGTTCAGAACGTTTATAATTGTTGCTACGTTCATTCTTACGTTTACGTTCACGAGCAAGTTTTTTAAAGTCCGGTGACCCCTTAAATTTGAAGGCTACATTGTCAGATTGTTTCGGACCCTCTTCAGTCCATCGAATACCGCAATTTAAGTTTTTCTCCCCAATTAAATGAGGCATTACTTCTTTCAATGTCTCACATCGTTTAATGTAGATAATATTCTTTTTATTTTCGTAATTGAGTATCTCGTAGAGACAAGTCTTTCCTTCATCACTCTTCCTTATCCTTGCGTCTTTATGGCCACAAAAGAACATATCATCCATCATGATGCATATACCATCTTCATACGCTGAGAGTTTCTTCCGAATTTCCTTGAGTGTCATTGATGCATTTAATCTAGCCGCTGTCGGCTCTTCATCCGGGCATTTGAGAAAAATTATACTAACCAGAATATCACCACTAAATTGAAATCCATACACAAAATAAATAATTGTAGCAATAATAATGGTAAGAACAATGGTCTCAAAAACAGTCATTCGAGCGAGGTGGGGTACTGTAAACTTGGAAGATGAAACAAACAACCCAGCACAGTCTTAACAATTAACCAATGAACGATTGTGTCATATGCAAATCTTTTGTGTTGCGTTACGGATTTCCTAATCATTTACCGTACTAGACGTCCCGTTAGATATGATATGTGTAGTAAAATTAAGGAATTAGAGAACATAGTAAAACAGATGAAACTTGGTCTACTTCATGTCGTTTTACCGTTACAATTTTATTGTAAAAACTTGCATTATTGAAGTCGATTGAGTATGCTATTCCGAAAAAATTTTTTACTATCAGCCAGTAAAATCATTTGTCGATCACACGACTGTATGCCATGATCTTCAAAAAGAATTTGTACACCGAATACTCGGAAATTGATATTAATATTAAAACTTTAACATAAACAGACTAGTTCCTTTAACCGGAACTTTCCCCCTCATTTCATTTTTGCAAAAGTTTCGTTCGATACACCAGGAGTTCCGTTTTTGATAGATGTAGCCAGCACACCAAATTTTGGTTTCTTTTTGATACATATGCGGCGAAGTCACGTTTTCGAAAATTATCCGATGTACTATGACTATATTAATATGTGAACGTCAAACACAAAGTATCTGAACTTTGAAGCGAGGACTAACAGTAATAGTAAGTAATTAGTGGACATAAACTAATATTCCCCGAACTGATATGCAAAAAAATTTTCTTTTAGCAAAAAGCTAACTTCCTTCGGTCCCAAAAAAAGTCCCTTCCGATGAGTTGCTGTCATCTGCTCTCAAATTTCTAACGAAATTATAACAAAGCTGCCTGCATTAATTCAAATACCACATCAATATTCTGTATTCTGCTGAAAAAAATTGAAAAGTATTAGTTATTTAGCTTCATACTTCTGGTCAGTCTTTATCTTGTCCACGATTTCTAAATAAATTCATACGATTAATAGAGCTATGGCAGACATCAAGGAAGGATTTACGTCTAACGCTTTGGTATCTGTTATAATCATTACGTTCACATATTAATATAGTCATTATGTGTACATATGGTCATGACGTTCACATAACACGTATAGTCATACATAGTAAGACCCGTAGATAAGATAAAGTTGGCCTAATATGATGCTTTTTTCCGGAATCAAGTCAGTTATAATATAACAATATCTCTCGTTGTTATGATCTTTCAATAATGTGAACATTTTTGGTCCAGCCCGACGACTTTATCTTGTCGAGAGTGACTGTGAGTATAGTACATCGGATAATTTTCTGGAAATTGTCGAAAACGTAACTTTTGCCGCAGATGTATCAAAAAACCCCCCAATTTGGGGGTGCTTGCTGATCTATCAAAAACGGAACTTCTGGTGTATCAAAACAAAACGTTTGCCTCATTTTGTTGTTGTTTGGAACACAAATCGAAATCTAACTCAACTCGAAATACGTTGATAAACAATGTTGATTGGATGTTGCTTATTGGTGTAATAGTCTGACAATGCGCCTACGTCAAATTGAGTTCATGTAGTCGTGGTTGGCAGTATGTTTAACCCCATTTGTTATTTGTAAAGCAAATAAGTGCCTTATTCAATTCGACTTTAGCAACCGCCGTTTTTCTTATGTCACAGTGTAAGTGTCAAGTCCTGTCTACAGGCATTGTTTGAATTTTTTTTCAATTCGCCTGCTGAGTTTGCTTATCATAAAATTGTATCTTTTAATAAACTTCGACGCTTGAAAATAATTTGTTGGATTATTCTATTTCAAAGAAAAAGCAAACGTCCATTGATAGTTTATTCTAAATTTTTTTCGGAGGGGAGGGGAGTTTCAAGTTTCTATTTTCTTCAGATTAATAAGCCGTAAGTAAAATTCTTTGCTGCGTAAATGATAATATTTGTAGATTATTATACATTATCAATGGACAGCTGTGGCGTAAATTACATATTAACGGTAAAAAAAAAGACTCCGATCTACTATACCCTGCTTTACCGATATATTTTCAGCAAAACAAAACTTTCGGTGTAATAGTAACAAATTTGACACTTATACTAGGAAACGGGAACCGTCGTGAGTCCGGAGCGAAATTTTACATATTTTACATATTTTAATATTAGTATGAGATAATCATAATAACGTCATTATCATCATTAATGGTCGAGACCATGTGCCGGACAGAGAAATTCATGTAATCAAAATTTTTTTATAGCGCGTAGACAGTAATAGGCCTTCGCTTCAATCACACTGTAAATAATTTTCAGTACGCTACCACGTCTTAACAGAGATGGCAGAAGTAGAATATTATTTTTGTCATTATTAGTTACATTTCTTCAGGAGTAAGGAAAATATAATAACGTAACGTTATTAGTTGTTATTATTTTCTTGCTTATATACATAATCTAACAATTACACATGTAAAACTGATAGATTTTGTTGTGTTAGGACATACAGTAATATTAATTATCAAATATTACTATTCTGTCAGTTGTTCGTTGTTCATTGTTCACAAAAAAAATACTTTTAGTATCTCTCCAAAAAGTTGGTAATTGTCATTAAAATAATGCTTTGGTAACATAATAATAATTGCTGTCACTGCTTTTTTTATATTTAAGCGTATGTTTGATAGATCTGGCATAATGAAAAAGTAAAAGAAAAAAAATGGGAAAAGCTTGCATGCTTACAGATTCTGTTAGAGGTCAAAAGTTCTTACTTATTATTCACATTAGCATTTGCTACTATATATATACTATATGTCGATTGTGTTACATAAATATCATTTTATTTTATTTCCATCCCATCTATGATCAAAAGCGGCATATTTGTATATGCCTGATGTTTAACTAACATGATTAAATTCTCAATTTATTACAACTGGTTAAGTAAGCCATCATTGTTGTGCATTTTTGATCAGAACTCACTTTTTCATTGTGAAGAAAGATGTCTAAATTTCAATATCGGAGAGCGTGTTTTTAACGAAATCTGTTCATACAGTCACTAATTGACCTGTCTTCAAAAAATTTGTTATACTGCCATCTATAAGTAATAAGTTATCCAGTAAATTAAACTCTCCGTATTATAATACGGCTAACTCGGCAACTTAAATAGACAAAGAAAACTATAGGAGTTAAAAAAAAAGTCCATTTTAAGAAAACTTGATCATTGCTCAAATAATCAAATTTTTACTAAACTAAAAATGCATATATTGTTCGAGATATGACCCAAAAAACCTCCGTCTTAAAATGCGCATATAAATGAGGACGGCTGTAATACGATTATTACTTAGAAAGAATATGAAAGACTTGTGCTTAAGTGTAGAGATGAATACGTGGTGACTTAAAGTTTACAAATGTAATATTGGCACCGTTTACTTAGCAAAATATCCATACTAAGCTTAAACACACTTAATATTAATAATAGTTATAATGAATTTTACTCGAAAAACCAAAGGCAGCGTGCTGGCAGAGTGGTAAATGGCCGATGACAGCCACGTAGACCTAGACGTGTGCTGGGGAAAATAAAACGTTGTTCCAATGCACTATTACCGTTGAGGGTTAAGTGTTGATCAAGTATCAAATTACTTTGCCGACAATTATTTTATCGAAAATAATGTTGGTTGCAAAATATTCGACGAAATACAAGTGAAACTCGATAAGCCGAAGGTGGGGGGAAGGAACAATTTATTCGGCTTATCGAAATTTTCGTTTTATC